TGTATACATTTTTTAAAGGATGCACATACCTATATTTTCTGATAAATGAATAAAATATTTTCCTGGAAGGATAATCAGGAAACTAATCAGCGTTTACCTTCGAGCACACAGCTGAAACAACAAGGGGTAGAAACGTGAAGGGAGAGGGACTTTTTCCTCTTATTTTATACTTTTCTATAAGGTTTCATTTTTCACTGTATTTCTATCTTACTTTTATGTGTTCACACATGGTAAGATCAACAGGGATGTGGGATGGAATTTAATCAGCAATTTTGTCTGTTTCATGAAAAAAATATTTTCTGTAATGGAAAAAATTACAACTCTGGTCCTTATGTCTGAAAACGCCTGTTCCTGGCAGCATCTCTGCTGGTGGGGACAACACACCTCCACAGGGTGAGAAGGAATCCGATTTAGAAAGCACAACCTTTAGAGGCCAGTTAACACAAAGCACACCCTTTTACAACCCTTTGAGGTACTGTATTGGTTTGCTAGGGTGGCCGTAACAAAGTGCTACAGACTGAGGGGCTTAAACAACAGAAATCTGTTTTCTCACAGTCCTGGAAGCTAGAAGTTCAAGCTCAAGGTGTTGGCAGGTTGGTTTCTTCGGAGGCCTCTCCCTTTGGCTTGTAGATGGATGTCTTCTTCTCCGTGTGTCTTCACATAGGTTTCCCTCTGTGCATGTCCGTGTCCAAGCTTCCCTTCTCCGTGTGTCTTCACATAGGTTTCCCTCTGTGCATGTCCGTGTCCAAGCTTCCCTTCCCTTTCTTATAAGGACACCAGTGGTTACTTGCAAGGTATTGATGGAAACCATTCCACACCACTTCCAGAAATTTCCGTTCAACAAATACTTATTGAAAACCTTTTGTTTTCCAGACACTGTATCAGATGCTTGACAAATATTCACCCTAATGACCTCATTTTAACTTAATTACATTTGTGAAAACCGTAACTCCACATAGGGCCACATTTTGAGGTGCTGGGGTGTTAGGACTTCAGCACATGAATTTGGTATGGGGGGGATACGATTAGGCCCATAACAGGTATTGGTTACCATCCCCACTTTAGAGTTAAGGAAACGGAAGCTCAGAGAGGAGAATCAAAAAAGGAGGTGAAGGAGTTAGTCATGCAGGTATCTGGGGGAACAGTATGCCAGCCAGGGGAACTGCACATGCAAATGTTCGTAGGTAGCACCGAACCTTGTGAGCTCAAAAAACAATGAGCAGGGACTTCCTTGGCAGTCCAGTGGTTGAGACTTCACCTTCCAATGCAGGGGGTGCTGGTTCGATCTCTGGTCGGGGAGCTAAGATCCCAAAAGCATCATGGCCAAAAAACCAAAAACATAAAACAGAAGCAATAATGTAACAAGTTCAATAAAGACTTTAAAAATGGTCCACATCGAAAAAAAATCTTAAAAAAGAAAAACAATGAGCCGAAAAACAAATGAAACAGTGAGCAGGCCAGTGAGATGTAAGAGGTAGAGGAGAGCTGACCATGCAGGGGCTCTGGGCACTGCAGATTTGGAGCAGAGGCATTGCATGGTCCACCTTCTGATTTCAAAGGCTCACTCGGGCTGCTGTATTGAGAATAGAATGTCATGGACAGATATGGAAGCACAGAAACCTGATAGGGGCTATTGCAGTATCTCAGGTAAGAGATGATGGTAGCTTGGGTGCAGTGGTAGCAGTAAGGTGAGAAGAAGTTTAATTCTGGTCATATTTTGAAAGTAGAAATGTTGATGCAAATAATCAATAAACAATCTATAATAAGAATAGAAGAGAGTTTTATTTGAGTCAAACTGAGGACTATAGCCTGGGAAACAGCCTCTCAGTAGCTCTGAGAGACTGCTCTGAAGGGGTAGGGGAGGAGTATATATACATGATTTTTTTTTTGGCTAGGAAATACACGTAGTCAAGCATACATCTTGGTAAAAGATTACTGCCAATCACAAAGAACACATATCACAACTTAATGATTTTAGTGCCTTTCTATGTAAGAGAAGATGCAAAAATCTGGGGTCATTGAAATTCTTTCTGAGGTATGCATCTTAACTACCTAAGGACCATCTATTCAAATCACAGAATGACCCATCCATTTTTTTTTTCCTGCATTTCCCTCAGGGGGTACTCTAGGTGGGCAACTGCAGTGGGTTGCTACTTATCCCTTTGTATTACTAGATGGTGGGCGATTTCTTTAATGGTTAATGCAGATGTATAATGTATGTTTGACAGGCCATAAGACAGGCTGTTTTAGTTAGCATAAAGTTCAAGGCACATCACGTATAAGCCAGAATGACTTCCCTGTACCTCAATATGTGAAGAGTTCTTCCACTAGAACCTACAGGATTGACGAATAGATTGAACAGAATATGAAAGAAAGAGAAGGTGTTAGACCTCCGCGGTCTCCTAGGAGTTTCGACTCGTGTTTACATTTTGTTATCTCCCTCCTTCTCCCCAGCTGCCTGATTGGTCTTTGACAGACACCTTTTTTACATTTTGTTATCTCCCTCCTTCTCGGAAGGGGGCCGGACATCCTGGAAATTTACCCATTGTCTAAGAAGCCCCTACTGTCTTGAGAGTTCTTAATCATTAGCTGGAACAATGTCCCTCGAGCCCCACAAAGGTTTCTGAGGGTTTTTTTTTCTTTCTTAAAGGCTAAGCTACATACTTAACTGTATATTCCAATTCATCAGAGTGTGTCATAATTATTTTTTCCCATCTCTTTCACTCTGCACTAAGCTGTCTGAGGGCAGCTATTGTGCCGTATTCACCTCTATATTTCCAATACCTACTGCAACATTCAAGAAATATTTGCTAAGTAAATGATCATTAAGCATGGCAGACTTGAATTCACATTGGACCCGATACTGTCTTTATCATCACCCTAGTAAGATAGGTTTCATCTCAAGTATGAAAGTCCAATTGCTGATATCTATAGAGAGGCTAGGTCAGGCCCGTGCTCTAAAAGAGTTCAGGCTCCATGTGCTGGTCTCCCTTTCGTGACTGTATCTGTTTTCTATTGCTGTGTAACAAATTACCACAACACACATTTATAATCTCAACTTTCCATGGGTTAGGGGTCCAGGCACATGGGTCCTCTGTTAGGGTCTCACAAGGCTACAACCAAAGCATCAGCCAAGCTGTAATCTCATCTGGAGGCTGCACTGGGGAAGAATCTGCTTCCAAGCCTATTCATGTTACAGGCAAAGTTAATTTCCTTGTGGTTGTAGGACTGAGGGCTCTAGCTTTTTGCTGGCTGTTGGCTGGAGGCATGCTGCTGTTCCTAGAGGCTACCCATATTTCTTTACTATATAAGCTTCTCCAACATGTTTGCTTACTTCATCAAGCCCACAACGGGAGTCTTCAGTCTGTTAAGAAGTTTTATATCACATAAGGTATATCACATAAGGAGTGACCTCCCAGCAAATCACAGATCAGCCCATACTCTAGGGGAAGGACTTAAGACATGAACTTCAGGAGTGGACATTGTTGGGGGTTACCTTAGGGTCTGTCCACCAGAATGAATTTCATCATTAGAATTTGTTTTCCCTCTAGCCCCACAACTCTGACCCAGTGTTACTTGTGGAATAGAATGGCTCTCTAGACCTTGCTGTCCAATATGGTAGCCACTAGCCCCTTATGTGACTAGTGTGACTGAAGAACAGATTTCTGAATTTTTAAAAACAATTTAATAAAATTTAGTTTAAAAACCAATACTCGGACTTCCCTGGTGACACAGTGGTTATGAATCCGCCTGCCAATGCAGGCGACATGGGTTCGATCCCTGGTCCAGGAAGATCCCACATGCCATGGAGCAACTAAGCCCATGTGCCACAACTACTGAGCCTGCGCTCTGGAGCCCGCGTGCCACAACTATTGAAGCCCGCGTGCCTAGAGCCCATGCTCCCCAACAAGAGAAGCCACTGAAATGAGAAGCTCACACACCACAACAAAGAGTAGCCCCTGCTCACTAGAGAAAGCCCGCACGCAGCAATGAAGACCCAAAGCGGCCATAAATAAATAAATAAATTTATTTATTTTGAAAAAGATACTCAACTCAGATATTGGAGAAATTTTTACATGTGTTTGAAACAATGTGGGTACATGAATCTAATTTTTCAACTAACTTTTGTGAATTCTAGAAACTGATCAAGTCTCTCCACCGAAAATTTAGTGTTCAAATTGAGATGTGATGTTAATTATAACATCTACACCAGATTTCAAAGTCTTAGTATAAAAAAAGAATAAAAGATCTCATTAATAGCTTTTCTGATTACATGTTGAAAAGATAACATCCTTTATGTATATTAAGCTAAGTAAAATACGTTATTAACAATAATTTCATCTGTTTGCATTTTTTTAAATGGGTTCCCAGAAAATTTAAAGTCACATATTTGGCTCGCATTCTGCTGCTGAGAGAAAATACAAAGAGGTTGAGCTGACCATGAGGTTGTAGTTAGCTAATAATAATAAATCAAGGCAACATCTGATGAACGCCAAACAATGAGTATGGTAGGGGTTCAGAGGAGGTAACTGCGGGGCTATCCAAGGGCGGGGCAAGTCTTCACCAGCAGGCGAGATCGACGAATCTTTAAATTGCAAGAGCTGCGCGGCAAGGCGCGCCGGGCTCTCACGGCCCGCGCCCCGCCCCGAAACGCGCTGCGCCTTTTGACCCGGCCGCCGCGCCGTAGGCCGCGCTGCAAGCCTGGGAGCCGCGATGGCGGACGTGTCCGAGAGGACGTTGCAGCTGTCCGTGCTGGTGGCCTTCGCCTCCGGAGTGCTCGTGGGCTGGCAGGCAAACCGGCTGCGGCGGCGCTACCTGGACTGGAGAAAGAAGAGGCTGCAAGACAAGCTGGCGGCGACGCAGAAGAAGCTGGACCTGGCCTGAGATCCCCGCGCTGTCGGTCCCCGCCGGCCACCGCGCGGCCACGTCGAGGCCACCTCGCCTCTCCGGCGCGGGGCTCCAGCCGAAGCCAGGCTCGCCACACTCTCTCCGCTCGCAGTGCCGGGCTCTTGCCGGAGTCGGTGAGCAGTACTTACAGCGACGCCTTATGGGGAGACTTCGGGGACGGCCGGATATCTTGGGACAGGAGGGTCTTTGGAGAGCCCACAGGAGGTGACTTGTCCCCCCAGGCACCAGAAAGAGGAGGAAGTTCTGTTTTCCCTAATAACTCACATTTTGGTATCGTAGTTCACTGCGTGTGTTTAACGGGACTGTCTTAACCGCGTGCAAAGTCGTTGCACCTTGGCGACATTAAGCTTCAAAATGGAAAATACTGGAAAGAATAGAAAATGAAAAAAAGGACCGTGGAGGTGTTCCTACCACCCCCTTCCCCCCTCCCCACATCAATTTATTTTTTAAAATATCCTTGGTAGCACCATAGTACATCTTTGCATTCATGTTTTGTCATCTCCAGTCTAAATTCTTAGGTCCTTGGCAGGCTGGCAATGGCTTGAAAGTCAGGAACCTTGAGTCTAGTCCTGGCTTTTTCATCAGAGCTCTGCAAATTTACAGGATCGCAGTTTTCTTATCTGTAACACCAGATCTTCTTGTTCATGGTTTAACTAAACAATAGAATAATTTGAAGTTAACCATTATGTATTCCTAATTTTTATTTCTCTTTTCTGTTTCCAACAGCTTGTTGAAGATGGATATAGAGAACTGGACAGAAATAGTTTCTCCTTGCACTTTATGAATCAATTTTATTTTTAAAATAAAAAAATTAAACATATTTGAACCTTTTATTAAAAGGAAAAAGAGTATCTTGCCTCCCATGCAGCTTACTGAATTAAGAGATTTGATCCTCAAAACTTATAATTACTGTCTTTGGTCAGCTATCTTGTTTTCTAAAGAATCTATGCTGGTTCCTTGGTACAACTGCAAAGCAAAGTTGGTCTAGGAACCACTATGATTCTCTTTGGTTAGCAGTTTTGCTGGACCTATTCTGGAAAGCAAACGGCTATGTAAAAATAACTGAGGTAAGGGTAATGTATGTAAGACCTTTACACATCTGAGGCTGACAACATACTCCAAGCACGAAGTATAAGTTTTAATGACAAAAGTTTCATTTGTATCATTATGGAGTATACATGTGAAGGAGAAACCTCATTGAATAGACCTTAGTGATAAATCCCAACTACAGTTGACCCTTGAACATGGGTTTGAATTGCACAGGTTCACTTACATGTAGATTGTTTTCAATAAATCTATATGTAAGTGGACCACTGTCCACTTACTATCCATGGCTGGTTGAGTCTGTGCCTGTGGAAACATGGATAGGAAGGGCCAACTGTGGCGCTTGAGCAGCCTTGGATTTTGGTATCCGTGGCAGCTCCTGGGGTTCCAGGATGATATCCTCCGATGATACCAAGGGATAACTGTGTCTGAAAATCAAGAGTGACAAAGTCCCAGGTTATTTTTGATTTTCCAGGGGTGTTTTCTAGAACACTGCCCTTGCTCATTCCTATAAAGATTAACTTTGTTTCTCAGTAAATTTAGGATCAGCTCCGTATTAACGTAAGAAAATTCGGGAAAGTTGTTTCCACAGAGAGCTTTTTTTTTCTTCCATTTTAGGAGGGCCGTTATGCTTTATTACTTCCAACTTCATTTGCATTCTGTGAATGCAGTACTTAAGGACCGAAATGTTGGTTCTTAGAGCGCCATTCCATCTGGGCTGCAGGTGGCTGAAGTATCTGAGTCACCATTCATCACTGAGGGTCAAAGAGTTGAGGCTCTTTGAGACAAGGTAGGTCTCTTATGGCACATCCACGGTGCCTCCAGACTGTTGGTATGTTCCTGGTTAAGCATCTAGGTTATGACCAGTTCTGCCCGTATGGGCCTGTTCTTGTGCCACGTTCCTGGTGGACCTGGTCTTTCCAATGTGACTCCTTTCCCATTACTTATGTGCATCACCCGGACACACTCGTCTCCCTCACCTGTCTCACCCCAATGTTCTGTCATCCTGCCCCTCTGGGCCTGTGCTGTTCACCCCCGAGACCTGTCTAGTCCTTACGCGGTTTTCAGCCACCCTACACCACTCAGTCTGCCCCTCGTTTTCTGCCTACTGCCTCTTCACACTGTGCCCATGTGTTCCCAGCCCTGTGGTGGACAATTCCCCCCGACATTGCCTCTCACTGTTTCACCTCTAGCTGTCTACCCCTTGCCCTACTTAAATGTGTTTGGTTTTTTCCCTGAAACTGTTGGCTTACATGGAGATGTTACATTTTCCATGTTAACCACTAGTCTGGAAGCTGTTAAATTCTTTTTCAGTATCTCCTGTGAGACAGCGGTACAAAGTTGATATACATTGTAACACAGAGTTGATATACATTGTAACACACTGATGGAAGAAAATCATAACAAGTTTTATGAAATAGCTTGTTCTCGGGAGAAGCAATGGCCATGGTTTGCTTTGGTTTCGGCTACCTCACTTCAAAACGGTCTTGTAGGTTACTCTGATTTTCGTAATGGCATCAAGGGATGACAACAGAAGCAGTGACTAGTGCTAAAGCGACTATACTGAGCATTACAAGTCAAAAGAAATGTAAGTTAATGAAAAGGAAGGCAGCTAGCTGAGTCATCTCACTCCTTACGGCGTGGTGAATACCTAAGCGGTATTTCTCAAACTTGAAGGTGCATGTGAAACACTGGGGTATTGTTAAAATTTAGATTCTGATCCTGTGGGTCTATGGTGAGGCCTGAGAATATGCATTTCTAACAGTCACCCAGGTGATATGGATGATACTGATGCAGGAATTATAAGGAATAAATGCTTCTCACGCTGAATAGTGTACAAAAATGTATAAAATCAGAGCATCTTTCCACCCGAGATGAACAAGAGTAATAAACCTTTTTTGTACCCTTCCTCATACATATATACACGTGTAGGGGGTTTATTTTGTTTATTTTTACCAATATAGAGTTTTACCATCTTCATGACCCTGTAACTTTTCCATTTAAAATATGGAAATCCTGGGCTTCCCTGGTGGCGCAGTGGTTGAGAGTCCGCCTGTCAATGCAGGGGACACCGGTTCGTGCCCCGGTCCAGGAAGATCCCACATGCCGCGGAGTGGCTAGGCCTGTGAGCCATGGCCGCTGAGCCTGCGCGTCTGGAGCCTGTGCTCCGCAACGGGAGAGAACACAAAAGTGAAAAGACCGAGAAAAAAAAAAAAAAAAAAAAAAAAAAAAAAAAAATGGAAATCCCTATAAAGTAGGTAGATTTTTTAAAAAATTTTTATAGACATATATAAAATAAATAAGGATTTCATAAATGATGGGTTGTCTTTAGTGTAGTTTTTTTCTTTTTGCTTACCTCTAACAAGATCACTTAGAAGTACCGATTTATTAATCCATCTAAAAATACTTTATAGTACTTACTACTTCCTCATTTGTTAGATTTTCAATGGAAAAACTATGGCTGTTTAAGTGAACTTTTAAGTATCATGAGCCACGATGGAGAAATTAATTCAAAGTAAAGACATGAGATACAAAAAAGTAGAATGGATGAGTATATTAGAGTATGTCATACAATGAATCAGAGAGCAATGAGAATGAACAAACTACAACCCACACGATGATATAGATTCATTGCACAAACAGGTTGAATGAAAGAAGCCTGACAAGATGCCAGTACACTGCGTGATTCCATTATTCAGTTCAAAAAAGAGGCAAGACAGATTTTTACAGTTAGAGATTGGGATAGTGTTTACATTTGGTGTAGGGGGTGGAGGTGGGCAGGGACTAGAAGGAGGGGAAGACCACTAGAGTGCTGGTCACATTCTGTATCCGAATCTGGGTTATGTTACTTACATGGGGGTGTGTTCACCCTGAAAATTCAGTGCGGTGGGCGCTTTTCACTTCTCTCTATTGAAGAAAAAAGTATTGCAAATAACATGGCAGTTGGGCCTGTGGAATTACCTTGTGTGTTGTACTGAAGAACACATCAGTGTGGTTCATCTTTTGAAAAGTGAACTCAGGTCGTCATCCTTATTCGGTGTAGTGGAAAGAGTTTGGGAATTGGATTTATAGGACTGAGTTCCACTTGGGGAAATGTTATTATAACCTCCCTGAGAGATGTAAAATGGAGCTCATAATTAGGTGCTCACAAAATTGCTGTAGAACAGAGTCACCATCCTCCCAGAACTCAGGATGGACCATGTGCAAAACTACAATGAAGTGATACTTCAGCAGTATCCCAAGTGGCAAAGAATTTAACACTGCCTTTTTGAAGTGAGAGTATGCGCCAGAACCACGTATCCCATTAAGGCCATATAGGAAAGCTATGCTTGCAGTTAATTTAAGATATTGAGATGCTTAAATTGTATCTTAAGGTTAGTTTAGAAAAACTGGTGTCAGAAAACAACTGCCAAAACACCCGGTACCCCAGGAGGAATGTCGTGGTAGTACTGGGTATTATGGGACTTGTAGTTTCGGACGCCGCGGGGCATTCCCCCTCATCTCCACCCCAATCCTTTCGGACTGGCGAGAAAAAGGTGAGTAGCTGGTCAGTGAACTCAGGACCTGCGGGCTGGCGGAGCGGCATCCTCGAGGGAGAATCATCCCCACATTCCTCCCGCAGCAGGCAGTCGGGCTGCGAGGCGGGCGCGCGGTGATGGCGTCACCTTCCGGTGCCGCCGTCTTGGTTTCCCTGACGACCGGCGTGAGCTCCGCGCCGAGGCGAAGGAGATGCTGGCGAGGCGGCAGCGCGATCCCCTCCAGTCACTGCAGCGTCGCAATCAGGAGCTGAAGCAGCAGGTATCATCTGGCTGTCCATTGGGGGACCTGGGCTCTGGTGGCGGGCGAGCTCTGGGGCGCACCCTAACCCTGGGAGCCTACCCAACCCACTTCAGTTTCCAAGTTGTAACCTACCTCACCCCCAGCATCAAACTGATCCCAGCACCAAACTGATTCTAAGCCTTCACACTCCCAACCCAACCCCGGGGAGGCTAGAAAATCGGGACCATCGACTAAGTGCTGCTCTCCCCCGCATCTCACCCTAACGGCTCTATCTCCAACCTAACAGCTCCCCTTAACCCATCTCACCTCCAAATCTAAACTTTTTTTTTTTTTTTTTGGTACGCGGGCCTGTCACTGTTGTGGCCTCTCCCGTTGCGGAGCACAGGCTCCGGACGCGCAGGCTCAGCGGCCATGGCTCACGGGCCCAGCCGCTCCGCGGTATGTGGGATCTTCCCGGACCGGGGCACGAGCCCATCCCCTGCATCGGCAGGCGGACTCTCAACCACTGCGCCACCAGGGAAGCCCTACAAATCTAAACTTTTAACAATAATTATTCCAACCACCTCTGCGCCCAACATCACTCTCCTCCACTCTCCATGCCTCCTTTCCTTTATCCTTCATCCAGTAGAGCTATTGAGTGTTTTTGCTTCACATGAATCCCAGCGAAATAGGTGTCAAGGAATAGTCCTAATATATAAGAAAAATAAGACCTGACAAATGAACAAAGGACTTGAACTAAAGGAGAAATACTAGTAACACACAAATATGAGAAAAGTTAACTTAAAAGTTAATCAAGTAATTGCAAAGGAAGTAAGAGATCACAAACACTTAAAATATCACATTACCCGGTATTGGGGAGGCTGTGATGAAACAGGCACTTAACACTGCTGCAGGGTATAAGGCACAGCATTTCTGGAAAGCCGTTTGATAAGATGTAGCAAGTATTCATGCTCCTAAGCTGGGAATTACATTTCCAGGAATTTGCCATACATAATAATAAAAAATTGAGACACAGGTTGAGGTATGGAGGTATTCGTCATAGTATTACTTATAATACAAAAGGCTGGATGCAACTTAAACGATCAGTAGTAGGGGAATGGATAAATAACATGTTGGGATATAATAGATTAAAATTTTAAGGAGATTTTAACATGTTAGGGAAAATATTTGTGATAAAATGTCAAGTTAGAAAAAATATAAAATTGAATATACAGTATTTCAATTTTAAAATTTTATATGTAATATACATAGAAAAAAAGATAGAAGGAAACATGCCAGCATGGTAACTCTATGTGGCAGAATGCTAATGACTATTATGTTTCGCTTCATACTTTTTGATATTTTCATAATTTTGGGTTGGGGTGGGGACACTTCCCTGGTGGTCCATTGGTTAAGACTTCGCCTTCCAGTGCAGGGGGTGTGGGTTCAACCCCTGGTCGGGGAGCTAAGATCCCACATGCCTTGTGGCCAAAAAACAGAACATAAAAACAGAAGCAATATTGTAACAAATTCAATAAAGACTTTAAAAACGGTCCACGTTTAAAAAAAAATCGTAAAAAAAAAAAATTAAGAAAGGGAATTCCCTGGTGGTCCAGTGGTTGGGACTCCATGCTTTCACTGCTGAGGGCCCTGGTTCAATCCCTGGTCGGGGAACTAGGATCCCACAGGCCGCGTGTCATGGCCAAGAAAAAAAATTTTGTAAGAAAAAAGTAAGTAGTAATTAATGTGTTGTTAATTTATTTTCTGAAATTCCTATTTTACTTTGCTAATTTTACTTTTTATTTTTCATTTGATCTATTACCAAATATTGTTTCCACTAAATAGAATTATTTTATAAACTTTGGCAGGTAAGAGATGTACTGAATGCTCGTATTTTATCCACTTTTGGACTTTCACTTAAAAAGTACAAAAGATGGGATGGATAAATGTTTCTTAATGGACTCTATTGGAATTATAGTGGTACAACAAAATAGAATACTCTTCTGGTAGAAATAAAAATAAAACTTGATGACACATTGACTTAAGCTAAGCTTTGGCCAGATGCTTAATATGGTTTTGTATTTAATTTTAAATTTAGTGGGACATTGAGAGAACCAGGAAATGTTGTAGAAGTAAACTAAAAAAATTATAATTATTACAAAGATGTAGCAAAGTAAACTATTGCCAGGATTATTCAAGTCGGAGACAAATTGGCTCCAGAGCCTTTTGATACCCTGTATGTCTGTGAAGGACTCTGTAGGTAGTGTGAGCTCATTCTTCCCTGGCCCCACGGAAGACACCTGAAGCAAAAAATGGAACAGATTTCCAACTTGGTATCCATGGGACAAGTGATCAAGAGCCCATCTGGGTCATGCCTGTGATGACCGACTCTGTTAGCATGTGTGTGAATTTTGTAAATAACAGATGCAAAATGGCAAGAGTAGAGAATTTTTATTTCTCTTTTTTCATCCACTTTATCTTCTCCACAGTATCTATAGAATGCAAAAGATGTATGTGCCTCTTTTGTGGGTATGTTGGCAAAGTTACACATAGTGTTTGGAAATTACTAAATCACAATATAAGATAAAAGAATGAGGATTAAAAAATTTATGGTTTATTCACATAATGAATACTACTCGGCAATAAGAAGGAATAAACTAATGATACACACAACAATATGGAAGTATCTCAAAAACATTCTTGTGAAATGATTACACAAATGAGTACATACTTTCTGGAGTAATGGTAATTTTCTGTACGTTGATAGGGGTTTGGATTACAAGGGTGTATGCATTTGCCAAAACTCAGCAAATGTATACTTAAGATTTGTGCATTTCATTTGTATGTAAATTTTACACCAAAGATTGAACTCTAGTTAGTGATACCCATGGTGTATTAAGGGGAAATATATTGATGATTGTAGTTTACTTTGAAATACATAAAAAATAAGATGAATTGATGAATAGATATGTCATAAAAGTATAGTAAAATGTTAATGGTAGAATCTAGGTGGTGGGTATTTGGATGTTCACTATAAAGTTCTTTCAACTTTATTGTATATTTAAAAGTATTCATTATAAAATATTGGGAAAAAAGAATTAAAATTTTATTTCCTAAGGTTATATGGTATTTAACAATATGATATTTTAAACATTCTCCATTTATTGTAGGTTGATGATTTGCTTTCTGAGAGTCGATTGAAAGGAGCTCTAGAAGCCAGTAAAAGACGAGATATTTACCAAAGGTAAAGCATATGAAATTATGTTAGCTTTGTAGGGACTGTACTTACATTTCAGTGAGCAGTATTTACAGCATAGAAATTGAGGAATTATTTCTTTTTTTAATTAATAACATTTCTAAAAAGACAAAATAATAATGGGAAATAATATTGAGGTAACAATGAATGAAATTTTCCAAAATGTATTTTACAGTATTTCTTACAATTATCTATGTCTACCTAGTCTAAATGTTGGAATGATAAGATTAAATAGAGAATTACAAACGTTAAAAAGGGGCAGCTTACATCTATTTTGTACTCTGTATGTACGAAGCAGTGTGGTCCATGCTCTAAAAACTTTTTAATTAATTTTTACAATAACATTTTGAGGTACTCATTAATATAGATGAGAAAATTAAGGTTCACAGTGGTTAGTTAATATGTCTAACACTACTTAGCTATAAGACATTAAAGTGGGAAGGCAATAAAAATGTTTTAAGATAAATGCAGAATTTATAGATATATTTAATTAATTAATTAAATTCAAGTATAGTTGACTTACAATGTTGTGTTAGTTTCTGGTGTACAGCAAAGTGGTTCAGTTATACGTATATATGTGTATGTGTGCATATATATATATATTGTTTTTCATATTCTTTCCATTATGGTTTATCACAGGATATTGAATATAGTTCCCTGTGCTATGCAGTAGGACCTTGTTGTTTATCCATCCTATATAGAATAGTTTGCATCTGCTAGTCCTAAACTCCCAATCCATCCCTCCCCCACACCCCCACCCCTCCCTTGGCAACCAAAAGTCTGTTCTCTATGGCTGTGAGTCAGTTTCTGTTTCATTGATAAGTTCATTTGTGTCATATTTTAGATTCCACATATAAGTGTTATCATATGGTATTTTTCTTTCTTTTTCTGACTTACTTAATATGATAATCTCTAGGTTCATCCATGTTGCTGCAAATGGCAGTATTTCATTCTTTTTTGTGGCTGAGTAGTGTTCCACTGTGTGTGTGTGTGTGTGTGTGTGTGTGTGTGTATATACATATATATATATACATATATATATATATATATATAACATTTTCTGTATCCATTCATCTGTTGATGGACATTTAGGTTGCTTCCATGCCTTGGCCATTGTAAATAGTGCTGCTGTGAACAGAGGGATGCACATATCTTTTCGAATTAGAGTTTTGTCTGGATATATGCCCAGGAGTGGGATTGCTGGATCATAGGGCAGCTTTATTTTTAGTTTTTTGAGGAACCTCCATACTGTTTTCCATAGTGGCTGCACCAATTTACATTCCCACCAACAGTGTAGGAGGGTTCCCTTTTCTCCATACCCTCTCCAGCATTTGTTTTTTTGTAGACTTTTTAATAATGGCCATTCTGACCAGTGTGAGGCGGTACCTCATTGTAGTTTTGATTTTCATTTCTCTAATAATTAGTGATTTTGAACATCTTTTCATGTGCCTGTTGGCCATCTGTATATCTTTGGAAAAATGTCTATTTAGGTCTTCTGCCCATTTTTTGATTGGGTTGTTTGTTTTTCTGTTACTGAGTTGTATGAGCTGTATGTATATTTTGGAAATTAAGCCCTTGTTGGTTGTATCATTTGCAAATATTTTCTCCCAGTCCATAGGCTGTCGTTTTGTTTTGTTTATGGTTTCCTTTTCTGTGGAAAAGCTTGTAAGTTTGATTAGGCCCCATTTGTTTATTTTTGCTTTTATTTCTATTGCCTTGGGAGACTGACCTAAGAAAACATTGCTACAATTTATGTCAGAGAATGTTTTGCCTATGTTCTCTTCCAGGAGTTTTGTGGTTCTATGTCTTATATTTAAATCTTTAAGCCATTTTGAGTTTATTTTTGTGTACATTGTGAGTGTATGTTCTAACTTCATTGATTTACACACAGCTGTCCAGCTTTCCCAATACCACTTGCTGAAGAGACTGTCTTTTCTCCATTGTATATTCTTGCCTCCTTCATTGAAGATTAATTGACCGTAGGTGTGTGGGTTTATTTCTGGGCTGTCTATTCTGTTCCATTGACCCATATGTCTGTTTTTTTGCCAGCACCATGCTGTTTTGATTACTGTAGCTTTGTAGTATTGTCTGAAGCCTGGGAGGGTTAAGCCTCCTGCTTTGTTCTTTTTCCTCATGATTGCTTTGGCAATTCTGGGTCTTTTATGGTTCCATATACATTTTAGGTTTACTTGTTCTAGTTCTGTGAAAAACGTCATGGGTAATTTGATAGGAATTGCATTAAATCTGTAGATTGCTTTGGGTAGTATGGTCATTTTAATAATATTAATTCTTCCAGTCTAATCCAATATTAATTCTTCCAGTCCAATTAATAGTATTAATTCTTTCTATTTCTTTGAATCATCTTCAGTTTCCTTTATCAGTGTTTTACAGTTCTCAGTATAAGTCTTTCACCTCCTTACTCAGGTTTATTCCTAAGTATTTTATTATATTTTTGATGTGATTTTTTTTTTTAATAAATTTATTTATTTATTTTTGGCTGCATTGGGTCTTCCTTGTTGGGTCTTCGTTGGTGCGTGTGGGCTTTCTCTAGTTGTGGCGAGCGGGGGCTACTCTTTTTTGCAACACACAGGCTTCTCGTCATGGTGGCTTCTCTTGCTGCAGAACTCGGGCTCTAGGCACGTGGGCTTCAGTAGTTGTGGCATGTGGGCTCAGTAGTTGTGGCTCACAGGCTCTAGAGCGCAGGTTCAGTAGTTGTGGTGCGTGGGTTTAGTTGCTCTGTGGCATGTGGGATCTTCCAGGACCAGGGCTCAAACGCATGTGCCCTGCATTGGCAGGTGGATTCTTAACCACTGCACTACCAGGGGAGTCCCTTTTGATGTGATTTTAAAAAGGATTTATTTTTTTTACTTTCCTTTCTGATATATATATATTTTTTTATCATTTTCCGTTTCTGATATTTCATTATTAGTGTAAAGAAATGCAACTGATTTCTGTATGTTAATCTTGTATCCTGCTACCTTGCTGAATTTCTTTATCAGTTCTAGTAGTTTTTGTGTGGAGTCTTTAAAGGTTTTCTATATATAATATCATGTCATCTGCATATAATGACAATTTTACCTCTTTCAATCTGGATACGTTTTATTTCTTTTTCTTGTCTGATTGTTGTGGCTAGGGCTTCTAATACTAGTTGAATAGAAGTGGTGAGAGTGGGCATCCTTGTCTTGTTCCAGATTTTAGTGGGAAGGCTGTCAGCTTTTCACCATTGAGTATTATGTTGGCTGTGGGTTTGTCATAAGTAGCTTTTATTATGTTGAGATATGTTTCCTCAACATATGTTTCCTCAACATATGTTACCCATTTTGGTAAGAGGTTTTTTTAAAATTTTATTTATTTATTATTTACTTTTGGCTGCGTTGGGTCTTTGTTACTGCGTGCGGGCGTTCTCTAGTTGCGGTGAGTGGGGGGGCTACTCTTTGTTGCAGTGCGTGGGCTTCTCATTTTGGTGGCTTCTCCTGTTGTGGAGCATGGGCTCTAGGCGCGCAGACTTCAGTAGTTGCAGCACACAGGCTCAGTAGTTGTGGCATGTGGGCTCACTCGTTGCAGCTCATGGGCTCAGTAGTTGGTGGCTCACAGGTTCTAGAGCTCAGGCTCAGTAGTTGTGGTGCACGGGCTTAGTTGCTCCACAGCATGTGGGATCTTCCTAGACCAGGGATCGAGCCCATGTCCCCTGCATTGGCAGGTAGATTCTTAACCACTGCACCACCAGGGAAGTTCCTTGGTAAGAGTTTTTATCATGATTGAATATTGAATTTTATCAAATGCTTTTTCTGCATCGATTGAGATGGTCATGTGGTTTTTGTCTTTTCTTTTGTTGTTGTGGTGTATCACATTGCTTTGCATACGTTGAACCATCTGTGTGACCCTGACAACTTGATCATGATGTATGATCTTCTTTATGTGTTGTTGGATTCGGTTTGCTAATATTTTGTTAAGAATTTCTGTATCTATATTCATCAAAGATATTGGCCAGTAATTTTCTTTTTTGTTGTTATCTTTGTCTCATTTTGGTATCAGGGTGATGGTGGTTTCATAGAATGACTTTGGGAGTGTTCCCTCCTCTTCAGTCTTTTGGAAGAGTTTGAGAAGGATCAGTATAGTTCTTTTTGTATGCTTGGTAGAAGTCCCCAGTGAAGCCATTTGGTCCTGGACTTTTGTTTGCAGGGAGTTTTTAAAATTATAGATTCTATTTTACTTCTAGTGATTGGTCTGTTCAAATTATCTAGCTCTTTTTGATTCCGTTTTGGTGGGCTGTATGTTTCTAGAAACTTGTCCAAGAAATGCAGAATTTAGTTAAGCAAGAGAAGGAACTTCACTACAGTCTCAGTGGAGTTGCAGCCTTTGGTCCATTTGAATCAAATGCAAGAATTATGTCATGGTATAATTTGGGTCTAAGAGCAAACAACCTAAGCCTGAAGGTTATGGACTTCTTGTTGTGACAGCAACTATAAAAACAGCTCAGAGTGAACATCAGTGGCGTAGGTCAAATTGTGGTAAGTCCTTGGCCTATGTAGCCCCAGATCCTGTGACCTGTCAGAAGTCTCTGTCTATTAGCAATTCTGCCTTGCTTGGGATGGTGACCTTAGCTCTCTTGAGATGGGAAAACTGTTCTCATGATGGATGATTGTTTTTTGTTTTGTTTTGAATTTCCTTTTTAATCCTTGGGAGAGTTTAAAATTAACTAGAGTTTAAAATTACATAGACATGATGAACTAAATCAAATTAGACTATTATTACTTTTGTATTAAGTTTAGGACATCATTAAAATAATCTGTATGCTTTGGGTCTTTAAAGAATTTATAACATTCAAATGGATGTGAGATTTGTGCTGCTAGTTTAAATGATTCATTAGAACATTTGAAAAAAATTTACTTAAGTCAGGCAGAGTGCTTAAAAGCAAAATAAAATTTAAATGAATTTTAAGATGTGGGAATTTAATTAACTACCTTCATTAGTAGGATTGATTATTTGAGGAATTTAGCTCAAGTTGAATTAATCAAACAATAATGAAAGAAAAAGGGAAGGTAATTGTACTTGCTTTACTAGATTTTAAAATAGAATAAGAGTTATATGCTGAATTGAAGTCCCAGGGAAAACTAGATTTTTAAATTTTATTTTAATAAGCTAATAATTATTTTTATACCCAAGTAATAGTCTTCTCTGTGTATAAAAAATCCCCTCACAGTCATTTTAAAATACACATTGATATTTTCATGTCTGGAAAAAACATTCAGCCCTTATGTTTGATTAATAATTGGGTAGATATGGAGTAAAAAAATTTTCTACTTAAACCTTTGAAGACATTGTCTGGTTCCTTTACACCCAGTGATGCTGACAAGTTTCATGGTCATTCTTTTGTAATTGATCTCTGTTTGAGGCTTTTCTCCTCAGCCTTGGTGTTTTGAAATTTTGTCACGGTGTATTTAGGTGTTGTTTTAATTCTTCTCAACACTCAAAGGGTCTTTTCAGTTTGAAAACTCTTGTCTCTCATGAGCTCTGGGAGAGTTTCTTTTACTAAAAGATAATTTTTTTACTTCTGTTTGTTTCTTCTTGAAACACCTTTGAGTCAGGTATTGAACCTCCTGGAATTTTCCTCTAGGTCTCTCCCCACTAGTTTTTGTTTCTTTGCTTTTTTGTTTATGCCTGAAAGGTTCTCTTGACACTTTTTTTTTTCTTTTTTGGCTTGCGGGATCTTAATTCCCTGACCAGGGATCGAACCCGTGCTTCGTGCAGTAGAAGTGTAGAGTCCTAACCACTGGATTGCCAGAGAAGTCCCTAAATTCAGTCTTATCTTAGCCAATACTGACCTTGCACAAGCCTTTCTCAGTGTTCCTTTTCCTCAAACCTTCTGAAACCGTGCAACTCAGATTGGGATTTGAACCCATGGGCCGGGTCTCAGACCCAGCCAAAACCCAGATTGGGACTTTAACCCACGGTCTTTTAACTGAGATCACACACCTGGTCTCAGAACTTAATGAAGCTCAGGTTCTTGATGTCTCATCGCAGAAAGAATTCAGTGAGAGACAAAGTGATAGGTAAGAAGTGGATTTATTTAGAGAGAAACACACTCCACAGAGTGTGGGCCATCTCAGAAGGCGAGAGCAGCCAACTTTTTCTTTTAACTTTTCCGTGGATGTTTTATTTCAGCAGCTGTATTGTTAATTTACAAGTGTTTTTCCTTGTTCTTTAATTTTTCTGTTTTCTAGCATTGCGTTCCTGTTTTTAGGTTATCTCATTAATACTTCCGTGATTGGGAGTTGTTTTTTTTTTAAAGTTCTTTTCTGTTCTCTGAGTTGTCTTTGGTTCCTCTGGGCTCAGATTTTTTTACTTTTGGTTAGTCTTAAATTTTATCTTCCATGTTGCTAGTTTTCTTCATTATGCCCAATGGTCCTTGGATTATCTTTTTTTTTAAGAATGAGGGACTAAGCTGATTATTCTAGAGAGTTGCCATGGGTTCTTCTACTGTTGTGTTTACAGGTCTAAAGGACCAGCCCTTCCTGTCATTTTGCTCAGTCATCTTAAGCTTGTCAGTGACAGCCCTGCATACCATTACAAAGTCCCCAGTCATCATTACCTAAAAGCAGAAAGGATGATGGTTCTTTACCTGCTCCATCAGGGAGAATAAAATGGGAGGAACTGCCCAACACATTTCTTTTATGTATCATTGGCCAGTGCTGGGCCATACACGCACCCTGCCTGCAGTGGAGGCTGATCACTTGCGTGTCAGTGGGAGGCCAAGCATGCCAGCATGGAGGAGGGTGGCAGAAGGGCTTTGGGGTAGATAACTAGCAGGGTCAGCTGCAGGTTGATGTTTCTACTTGTCTTTTCTGCCTCTTTCACAAAGGATTTTTGTCCCCCTTTTCACTGCTTATTTCATTTTATCAGTCTGTGGAAGAAAAAAAAATAACTCAGCATAAAAAATAATGACTTTTTCAGGTTATTGGTGGAGAAAACATTTGATTTTGGAAAACTCATAACTAGCTGTAGCCCATTTTCAGTCATTTTTTTCTCTTTTTTTTAAATTGAAGTACAGTTGAGTTACAGTGTTGTGTTAATTTCTGCTGTACAGCAAAGTGATTCAGTTATACCTATATATACATTCTTCTTTATATTCTTTTCCTTTATGGTTTATCTCAGGATACTGAATATAGTTCCCTGTGCTATGCTGTAGGACCTTGTTGTTTATCCATTCTATATATAATAGTTTGCCTCCACTAACCCCAAACTCGGTCGTTTTCATACTTCTAATTTGGGTGTCTAAGACTTAAGCCAAATTATGTGAGCTGTCCATGAAATATCTAAAACACTGTACCCATATGGATGGGCCATGTTCACAAGGGGAGTGTGCTGTTGGGGGGAGAGGCCAGCTGTAGAATCCTAAACTCTGCCTTCACATGGTTACTCTCCCTCTGACTAGCTCTGGTCACTTTTCAGAACCTCACTTTCTTCAACTGGAGTGAGGTTTGTTATGAGACTCAAATGAGGTGATGCTTGTAAACTGCTTAGCAGTATTTGTGATGCAAAAAGTAAATTCTAGCTGTTATTGTCATTATTAGTTTTGTCGTCTTGGTTGCATCCTAGGTTTATGGAATTTTAGAGCTGGAGAAGCATTTTTAAAGTCCAGTGCTTTCCTTATTTTAGAGATAGGAAACTGAAGCCCAGAGTCACTGAAGTTTTCTGCGTTCTGGTTATCATACCTCATACCTGAGATCTTGACTATGAGCATCACCCAAGCTAATGGATGGAAAGGCATTTACATATGAATTTTTAAACATCATTCATGCAATAGAAATTGCCTTACCTGGGCTTCCCTGGTGGCGCAGTGGTTGAGAATCTGCCTGCCAATGCAGGGGATACGGGTTCGAGCCCTGGTCTGGGAAGATTCCACATGCCGCAGAGCAACTAGGCCCGTGAGCCACAAGTACTGAGCCTGCGCGTCTGGAGCCTGTGCTCCGCAACAAGAGAGGCCGCGACAGTGAGAGGCCCGTGCACTGCGATGAAGAGTGGCCCCCGCTCGCCACAACTAGAGAAAGCCCTCGCACAGAAACGAAGACCCCACACAGCCAAAAATAAATAAATAAATAAATAAATAAAAAAAACAAAAAAATGGCAGATGCTTGCTTTAAAAAAAAAAAGAAATTGCTTTACCTGCTTAAAGACTTATGTATGATTTTATAAAATAGCTTTTCGTTCTGACAATTAAAAAATCAATATTTTGTTTCTTTCTTTTTTAAAATTTAGATGTATCCAATTAAAACAGGCAATAGATGAAAATAAAAATACTCTTCAAAAATTAAGCAAAGTAAGTATTATGGTTAATCATGTTAAAAAAAATTCCGTTTTTACCCAAATATTTTGTTAAGTGGAAGTTCATTAGAGGGGGAAGTTCCTGGGTTCACATAAGTTATGAAGTGTAACTGCGGTCAGTGCTGACCTGCCCGATGGGCTTACTGAATGTGCTTGGGAGCAGAAAAGGCAGGGCTCCAAATCCTGGTAAAAGTTCAGCTTTAATGAACTCACCCAGCATTGAGGACTCGGAAAAACCTGGAAGGAGCTATTTTTATTTTTGCATTGCGTAAGTTTTATGTTTTACAGTTTAGAATTGTTTTCATTTTAATTACATTGTGGGGAGAGTACATAATCTGGCCCTGAGGGTAAGTGGTAGAGAAACTTCTTCTATCACATGGCAGCCCTGATATTGGTGACTCTGCAGAAACAGGGCAAACTAGAGTTTACTCTGGGCAGTTCCCATCAGGATTTCCTCTTTTAATATGAGCCTGAGCTTCAGCTAGGTGTCCGGGCCAGAGACTCACAGAGCATTTAGGGTGGAAGGCATTTGAAAGTCATCTGCCTGCCTGCATGTGGATCTCCTTTACTGCGTCTGAGACAAGGGGTCACTGAGTGTCTCTTCTGCATTTCTCCAGTGACACAAAACTGTAATTCCGCAGGCAGACTGACCCTAAATTTGAAAACCTAACTATTCCTGTTTCATAAATGAGGAAACTGAGGCTTCCAAAGGTGAAGCAGCTTTCCCAGTGTCTCACTGCCGGTAAGTGGCAGAACTTGGACTTGGCACTTGTGTTTTCGACTCAGTCCTCTGTCTGGAACCTGTCCCTTACTGACTATAGAGGGACTGCAATACCAAGCAAGAAAACAAAACAAAAAAATAGGAGGTATACATTTATTTTGTCATTTGGTTTGCATTCCAACATAACAATCTACATTTCTTTTAAAGTTATTTCTCTAAGGTAGGCATAGTCTCGTATCAATATTTGCTTTGTCTTATAGGACTTATTGGAGTTTTTTACTTTTAACATAAATGTAATCGGAAACTGAAATTTTTATTTTTTTAGTAAAATAGACTTATATTCTCTCATAGGCTGATGAACCTGCCCCTGTTGGGAGTTACAATCAGAAGAAAGAGGAGGAACACAATCTTTTGGATAAGCTTACCCACCAACTGCAGGAACTTGCTGTGTCCATAAGTAGAGAAAATGTCACTGAGTAATGCTCCCTTCCTTCCTTTCTTTCTTTCAGATATTATGTCACCAACAGTTTTAATGTTTGACTCAGAATAAAGTCATATATAGATAAAAACAAATGGCAGTAACAGTACAATTAGTCAACATTTATTTATTGTGTATAATAGAAAGTGTGAGATCCCATGAGAGATGTAAAGAAGTAGAAGCCATAATCTCTGCTTTCAGGTAAGTTATAAGCTAGTTGGGGAAACAAAACAGAGATCGGAAGAGCTAAATAAACAGATGTTAGAAAATAAGGATCGGGCTTCCCTGGTGGTGCAGTGGTTAAGAATCCGCCTGCAGGGCTTCCCTGGTGGCGCAGTGGTTGAGAGTCCGCCTGCAGGGCTTCCCTGGTGGCGCAGTGGTTGAGAGTCCGCCTGCCGATGCAGGGGACACGGGTTCGTGCCCTGGTCTGGGAGGATCCCACATGCCGCAGAGCGGCTGGGCCCGTGAGCCATGGCCACTGAGCCTGCGCGTCCGGAGCCTGTGCTCCTCAATGGGAGAGGCCAGAACAGTGAGAGGCCCGCGTACTGCAAAAAAAAAAAAAAAAGAATCCGCCTGCCAATGCAGGGGACACGAGTTCGAGCCCTGGTCTGGGAAGGTCCCACGTGCTGCGGAGCAACTAAGCCCGTGTGCCACAACTACTGAGCCTGTGCTCTAGAGCCCACGAGCCACAACTGCTGAGCCCGCGTTCCTAGAGCCTGTGCTCTGCAACAAGAGAAGCCACCACAGTGAGAAGCCCACGTGCTGCAACCAAGAGTAGCCCCTGCTCACTGCAACTAGAGAAGCCTATGCACAGCCTCGAAGACACAGTGCAGCCAAAAATAAACAAATTAAATAAATATATTTAAAAAAAAAAAAAGAAAAGAAGGATCATGGGCTTCCCTCGTGGCGCAGTGGTTAAGAATATGCCTGCCAATGCAGGGGACACAGGTTCGAGCCCTGGTCCGGGAAGATCCCACATGCTGTGGAGCAACTGAGCCCATGCACCACAACTACTGAGCCTGCACTCTAGAGCCCGCGAGCCACAACTACTGAGCCCACACACCTAGAGCCCATGCTCCGCAACAAGAGAAGCCACTGCAATGAGAAGCCCACGCACCGCAATGAAGAGTAGCCCCCGCTTGCCACAACTAGGGAAAGCCTACGCGCAGCAACAAAGACCCAACATAGCCAAAAATAAATAAATTTATTAAAAATTTTTTAAAAAAAGAAAATAAGGATCATGCCTTTAATGTCAGTGTTGATGTGTAAAAAGAAAATTATTTGGATTGTCTATTTGCATATTTATTTACTCCTTTTATAAATATTCTTTAAAAATTGGAAGCAGAAACATGCATTCTTTTCCTGCTGGAGTGGATGTTAATAATAGCCTTTGTAAAATGGAAAGAAAACTTGATAGTATAAACAAACCCAATTCATAGGAAGAAAAAAGGAAAAAGTCAACTATTTAGACTCTTCAAATGCTGTTCCCATACTTTTACACTGTATCCTGGGAAAAAATGCTAAAGAATATAGATGCAAGGATTCTAGAATTTCCATTGATTTCCAGTACTGAGAATGACAAAAGTGGCTGGTATTGGACTTACCCTTCCTACCATAAACACTGTAAAATCTGGACAAAATATACAAAATGGCTGTTTGAACTCATTGAACATCAACCAAGCAGGGTTGATACCGTTAATACAGGGAGACACGAGCTGAGTCCTGCATTTACCCAGACCCTCTTCCTGGAGTTAGTTTATGGGCGGTGGTGCAGGAATCCCAAACAGGGAGCTGCAGTCTCACCGGGCTGAGGAGGCAGAGATAAAATTCTGGACTTGCTAAGGCTGCTGGTACTTGTGGAGAGAGTGGAGAGATAGAAGAGAGTTGCAGAGAGACAACTGCAGAAATCTAAATGGACTCCTGGGCTACACAGCATGATTCCAGAAGGCCTGGCAGAAAGCGCCTGCTGAGAGACTGAAAGCTTAAAAGATTTTGGAGGCCACAGAATCCTGGAAAAATATTTGAGTTTGTACCTAGCTGGAGTAAAGATACCTTGGTGAATGCTTCAGGCATTTAGTTGGAGATCACGTAAGGCCTATGCCCTAGGAGTAAGGAAAACACCCTAATATTAAGAACTGTGATCTTGGAATACAGACAAAACTGAAGTAGGGCTTCCCTGGTGGCGCAGTGGTTGAGAATCCGCCTGCCGATGCAGGGGACATGGGTTCATGCCCCGGTCTGGGAAGATCCCACATGCCGTGGAGTGGCTGGGCCCGTGAGCCATGGCTGCTGAGCCTGCATGTCCGGAGCCTGTGCTCCGCAGCGGGAGAGGCCACAGCAGTGAGAGGGCCCACGTACTGCAAAAAAAAAAAAAAAAAAAAAAAAAAAAAAACTGAAGTAAATCTTTTCCAACAAAGCCTAAAATCAGACCTTAACAGGAACAAGATCATTTAACTGTATAACAGAACAAAATTCAACACTCTTTAAAGGATGACCACATAATCCAAAGTCTCTAAATGTATTACCCACAATGTCTAGTAATTTTTAAAGAATGACTAGAAATGCAAAAAATAAGGGGGAAATAAATAATAATTAAGCAGTGAAAGTCAATAAAAGCAGAGCCAAATCTGAGCCAGATAGTAGAGTAAGCTGACAAGGATTTCTGAATAATATGATTAATATGATGAAGAAAATAGAAGAAAAGATGGATGGAATGGAAAAAACATGGCATATTTTAAGAGAACTCATGTAGAAAATAACCAAATGAACATTCTACAACTGCAAAATATAATATCTGATGGAATAACGGCTGAGGACTTTCTAAATCTGGTTCAATATATAGCTTCAAAAAGGTGAAAATGTCTTATAATAAAGAGAAAAAATAATCATTGGAAGTCTAGATGACCCAGATGTGAGAATTAGCAAACCAGAGCTATAAAACAACTATTTTCAATATGTTAGAGAGATGGGCAGATTGCTTGATTAGAGAGGAATCTTAAGCAGAGAAATGGAAACTAATACCAACAAAAATGGAAATTCTGAAACTAAAAAACAATATATGAAAAGAAAAAAATTGGATGGTTTAACACAAGACTGGATACAATAGAGGAAAAGATCAGTGAACCCAAAGACTGAGCAATGAAAAACTTTCAAACTCATGCACAAAAAGAAAAAAAGAACGAAAAGAACAGAACAAAATGTAAGAAAGATCTGGGACATGGTAATAAGTTATAGCATATGTGTAAATTGAAGTCCCAGAAGGAGAGGAGAGAGAGAATGGAGCACAAGAAATATTTCAATACATTTTTAAATTGAGATCTAAAAAAGTTATCAATTCACTGGTCCAAGAACCTCAGGCAACCCCAAATAATAAATATAAGAAAAACTACACATAGATGCATCAGAGTTAAACTGCTGAAAACTAAAAATAATAGAAAATCTTAAAAGCAGTCAGGGAAATAAAGAAACATATGTACTGGCAAACAACAATTCAAGTTAATGTTGACATCTTGTTAGAAAAAATACAGGTCAAAAGATAATGCAGTGACATCATAAAAGGGTTGAAAGAAAAAAAATCTATCAACCCAGAATTCTGTGTACAGCACAAGTGTCTTTCAGAAATTAAAGTAGAATAAAGACATTTTCAGACAAACAAAAGCTGAGAAAATTTGTCAAACAAATGCTGAGAAATTTGCTAAAGGAAGTCCTTTAGGCAAGAAGGAAATGATCCCACAGGAAACCTGTATTTGCAAGAAGGAATGAAGAGCACCAGTATGTGGGTAAATAGAAAAGCCTGTTTCTTCTTTTCTAAATGTCTTTAGAGAACACTTGATTGTGTAAAGCAAAATATATATTTAAGAATTTATAATATATAGTCAATTCTCATTATTTGCTGTGGTTATGTTCCATAAAGTTGCTGCCAATACTGAATACTAAACCATGGCTTACAGGGAAAATACACAGCTAAGTTCCTGTGAGGCTCTGGTCACAGTTTTTTTTGAAACCTGAGTAAAACATGTCCTTGTTTTATGTGTGTTTCTGTTTAAAGATACCTTATTTAATGTATGTTATGATTCATTAACATTGAACTCACAGCTAACAGCCCTATAATTCATGCCTGAAGAAATCTAACACACTTATTTTCTCCATTAGGGCACATCACAACCTTCTTGTGCTTTATGGCCATTTAAAACAGCATAGGTAGGTTGCAAGTAAACGATTAGAAAAAGGTATTCCATGTTAACCCTGACGAAAACAAAGGTGATACAGCTATAGTAGTATCAGTCAGAGAAGACTTTAAGGTCAAAAGTAGTTTAATAGATAAATACATCTTATAATAGTAAAAGCATCAATTCAATAGAAAAAATTGTCCCTAATGTGTAGACACCTAATAACATAGCTTTACAACGTATAAAGTAAAAATTGTTAGCACTGAAGGAGAGCTATATAATCCACAAACCTTAACCACTGTTACCTAATTAAAAATATGTTTGTAGAATGCTGTATCCAACTAGATAATACACCTCTCTTCCAAGTGCGTGTATAACATTAACCAAAATGAATCATAATGGACCATAAAGCAATTGTCAACAAATGTCAAAGGATTGAAATCATGTAGTGTATAGTCTGATGACTTGGAATTACATTAAAACTCAGTGACAATCTAAAACTAATACAATGGTATATGTCAATTATATATCAATTTTTAAAAAAACTCAAATGACAGAAAAATGAAAGTCTCCAAATGGTTGCAAATTAAGTCACATACTTCTATGTAACCTAAAGGTCAAAGAAAATATTACAATGGAAATCTTGAAATATTTTGAATGATAATAAAATACAACTGTGGGCTGCAGCTAAAGCAGTGTTTAGAGGGAAATTTATGACTTCAAATGCATAGTTTGGAAAAGTTGAAAATTAATTACTGAAGTTTCCAACCTAAGAAGCCAGAAGAAGAATAACAAATTAAACCCAAGAAAAATAGAAGTAAGGAAATAATAAAGAGCAGAAGACAGTGAATAATAAACAGACATACAGTAGATAAAATCAATAAACCCAAAGTTGGTTCTTTGGAAAAGTTAATTAAATGGGTAAATTCCAAGCAAGACTGATTAAGAAAAGAGAAAGAGAAGGAAAACAACAACAATAAAACAGGGAAGAAAACTAATCACTACAGAGTCTACAGAAATTAAAAAGGTACCATGAAGATACTATGAACATCTTTATGCCAATAAATTTGAAAATTTAGATAAAATAAGTTGCTTGAAAAATAAAATGTACTCAATTTACACAAGATGAATAGAAAATCTTAATAATACTACCAAAATATCTACTAAAGAAGTTGAATATATAATTAAAACCTTTCCACAGAATAAACTCTCAGGTTGCTTCACTGATAAATTTCTGCATTTAAGTAAGAAATAATACCAGTACTATAAAATCTTTCTAGAGAATTGAAAAAGAAATATTTCCCAAATCATTTTATGAGTGCTAGATAACTTCAATATCAAAACCTGATAAGAGTATTATAAGAAAAATACAAGGCCTTCATGAGTGAATGCACAAACTCAATATGAAGTGTCAGCAAATAGAATCCAGGGCATATAGAAATGACAGTACATCATGACGAAGTGGGATTTATTCTAGAATGCAAGGTTAATTTGACATTGAAAAATCACTAATTGAAATTTACTCTATTAGCATAATAAGAGCCATTTGGGTCTATTTGGCTAGTTTTAATGGTTAGCAGTGTCCATTTGCATCAAAGTATTGTTATCCCATTTTATTTTTTATTTTTAAAAATTTATTTCATTTATTTAATTTTGGCTGCATTGGGTCTTCGTTGCTGCGTGTGGGCTTTCTCTAGTTGTGGCAAGTGGGGGTTACTCTTCGTTGTGGTGCGTGGGTTTCTCGTTGCGGTGGCTTCTCTTGTTGTGGAGCACCGGCTGTAGGTGCACGGGCTTCAGTAGTTGTGGCTCACAGGCTCTAGAGCACAGGCTTAGTTGCTCCACGGCATGTGGGATCTTCCCAGACCAGGGCTCGAACCCGTGTCCCCTGCATTGGCAGGAAGATTCTTAACCACTGTGCCACCAGGGAAGCCTCTGTTATCCCATTTTAAGATAAGATAAGCTTCTCTAATGTAAGCGTTAGGAGAGCAAAGACCTCTATTTTGTTCATTGTTACACCCCTAGCACATAGTGTCTGTCACACAGTAGGTACCCAGTAAATGCTGAATGTTGAATGAATAAATAAAGCTCAGGGAGACTTAACGACTTATCCAAGCTAGTATTTTAGCTCCTCTCTCTTCCCTCCTCAGTATCTTTCCCAAACACCTTTCTCTTCATCCCTAATTCTTAGTTTAAACTGTTTCATGTCTCACTGTTAACAGCCATCTTTGCCTTTAGCCCTTCTTCCAATCTCTTGCCCATGTGATAGCCTGATCAACTTCCTGAAGTGCAGATCAGATCGTGCCTTTCCCTTCCTTCATTTTTAGGGACCACCTTTAGAGGTAAAGCTCACATGGGCTGCGTTCTGCTCACCTCTTTTCAGTCTTATCTCTTGCTTATTTCTCCCAAGCCTCGTCCTACCCTCGTGAGCTACTTGAGGTTCCCTGAGCTTGAGCCTCCTTTCTCCACTCCCTTCCTTACCTTTCTACTCCCCTTTTACCTGATTAATTCCAACTCATCCCTCAAGACCTAATTCTAAGGCTTTCTGATCTCCACCCACGCAGTCGAGGTTAGGTGTCTCTCGTGTGCTTCCTTAGTATCCCGTGTTTACCTCTACTGCAGTATCTGTTGAACTACATAGTACTTATCCGTCTGATAGATTGTTTCATTGTCCTCCTTGAGGACAGGGAATTGTGTCTCGTTTTTCTCTGTATCTACTGTGTCTGACATGGAACCTGACATATATCATCATCACCACCGACTTTTATTGAAAGCCTGCAGACACCGTTGTAAACACTTTGCAAGTTTGTAACTCCTCTCATCTTCATGATGACCCTATGAGGCAGGTTCTATTATTATCTCCACTTTACCAATGAGAAATGGGGAGATTAAAAGAAACCTATCCAAGGTCACTCAGTGAGAAGGAGATAGAACCAGAACTTAAACTCAGAGCCCGTGCTCTAATCACTGTACAATAATGCTCAAGCAGCGTCTGCTGAATGGATGAATCCAAGATTTCAGTGCAAGTCTCTTGGCCTCCAGTCCAGCACATGCTTCACCAGGTCACATACGTTCCTCAGATATATTAACTCCTCATCACTCTCAGTTCCTCGGCCACATATTCTTTGCTAGATGGTAGAAGCTTAGTTGCACTTTCCCTTTATTCCCTTTATTTGCCACTTCCAAATATAGGCCAGTTCTATATGTAGAAGTTATACTCGTACTCGATCTGGATCTGTTCTTATACGTTATTTCAGGTGACCCTTGTCAAAGAATTATTTTTTGCAGAACTGGGGCGCTTACTGAAGGAGAGGACGATGACAGTTCTGCTGAAGAAGATGAAGAAGAAGAAGAAGAAGAAGAAGAAGAAGAAGAAGAAGATGAAGAGGCCGCAAGTGGAGAATACGTTGCTATTGGAGATTTTACGGCTCAGCAAGTCGGAGACCTTACATTTAAGGTAGTCGAAACAGACTGGAAGCTAACTGAAGGATAAATTTTCGTACCTAACGTAGTAAGAAAACTCTACCTGTATTCCTGGATTAGATATTCCTGATATTAACTTTTCAAAGACTCAATCTGTTTAAATAAAATAAGTGATAATTAAGATTTACAAGCGGTAGTCAGGTGAAATTCTGTTATCAAAGTTACCTGGTAGTAAAATGGTAAAAAGAGTAGACGCTCTTCTGTTTTTGAAAATAGTTTTCATGTTGATAATTCTGAATTTAGGGGTAAATTTTAGTTTAAAAATTTTTACTTTTATTTTCTTTAAGAAAGGGGAAATTCTCCTTATAATTGAAAAAAACCCTGATGGTTGGTGGATGGCTAAGAATACCAAAGGAAACAAAGGTCTTATTCCCAGAACGTACTTGGAGGTCAGTCTTTTTTGTTTATTCTTTCCTTTTTCTTCTTCAAGACATTTTTTCATTTATAAGAAAACACTAAGATGTAGTCTTTGATCAATTGACTAGTGAATGACTTAGGATATAGAATTTGCCTCAATTTTAGAGGGACAGAGCATGGGAAAGATACTGTGTATTATAGTTCTGGAGACCTGTGAAGTGCTGTTATGTAGCTGAGCCCTAGAATGTTATCCCACAATGAAGATGTTCTGTGGATTAATGTTGATCATAAAAATTAATAGGTATTTATTATTTGTTGTGAAACAAAACCACAGTTAACTTTGTGTTAACTTCCACAAATATACGATCCTTTACTAAGACGTGGACATACTATATATGCATGTTTATGGCCTATTTCTTTCACATTTCATAATATAGCATGGTCATTTTCTGTGCCAATATATATAGGTCAGTGCTGTCCAATAGAAATATAATGCAAACCACAAATGTAATTTAAAATTTTCTAGTAACGACACTGAGCTGTCTTGTTTTTCTTCGCACCACTTCTAACAGCAACTGTGTGTTTCTTTTCTGACACCAAATACATGTTGTTTTTCCACACTGATTCTTTGAAACCAACCAGGTATCCAACAATTCAGTTCAATTCTGACACTAGCTCCTGGAGTTAGCACAGACCTCCACAAGGTAAGGGCTCAGTCCCATAAGACTGTCCCACTTCAGATGCCCGTCACAAGTCCCCGGGGCTAGCTGTGCTTCTGTGTGACCGGCTCTAAACTTGGAAGTTCCCACACCTTTCCTCAGGTTCAATAATTTGCTAGAGGGACCACAGATCTCAGGAAACACCTCACTTTTGCTTCCCAGTTCATTATAAAGGATATAGTTCTGGAACAGCCAAATGGAAGAGGTGCACAGGGCAAGGTATTGGGAGAGGGAGGGAGTGGGGCCTGGTTCTTCCATGTGCTCCTGGAACCACCCTGCCAGCACTTCAAGTGATGGCCAACCCAGAAGCTCCCTAAACCCTGTCTTTTAGGGATTTTGGGGAGGTTTCATTACATAGACACGATGGATCGAATCATTGGCCGTCAGTGATTAAATTCAATCTCTAGCTCCTTTTCCCTCCCTGAAGGTGAGGGGGTGGGGGGCACTAAAAGTTTCCACCTTCTAATCACTGGTTCCTCTGGCCACCAGCACCCACCCCTCCCCAAGCCATGACCTCATGAGCATAAACTCAAGTATGTTTGAAAGGGCCTTGTTATGAATAACAAAAGACACTCCTGTCACTCAGGAAATTCTAGGAGTTTTAGGAACTCTGTGCCAAGGACTGGCATAAAGACCAAATATGTATTTTTATTATACCACACACATTTTTTAAAAGTAAAGGGAAACAGGTGACATTATTAATTTTTTAAAATTAATTTGTTTATTTTTGGCTGTGTTGGGTCTTCATTGCTGCGTGCGGGCTTTCTTTAGTTGTGGCGAGTGGGGGCTACTCTTCATTGCAGTGTGCGGGCTTCTCATTGCAGTGGCTTCTCTTGTTGTGGAGCACAGACTCTAGGCACACAGGCTTCAGTAGTTGTGGCACACGGGCTCAGTAGTTGTGGCTTGCGGGCTCTAGAGCGCAGGCTCAGTAGTTGTGGCACACGAGCTTAGTTGCTCCGCGGTATGTGGGATCTCCCTGGACCAGGGATCGAACCTGTGTCGCCTGCATTGACAGGCGGATCCTTAACCACTGCACCACCAGGGAAGCCCGGTGACATTATTTTTAATAATTTATTTTATCCAATATATCAAACATATTGTCTCATTTCAACGTATAATCAATATTTTAAAATCCTTTCTTTTTTTTTAATGCTAAGTCTTCAAATTCTAGTGTGTATTTTACACTTAAATAGCACATCTCAGTTTAGACTGGTCACATTTCAAGTGTCAGTAGGCACAGGTGGTGAGTGCCTGCCCTATTGCCCAGCTCAGTTCTGGGTCGTCTGTTTCAATGGTAGCATAGTATTCCAGTCTCATTTAGATGGACATTTAGGTTTCCAACCTATAATAACTATAAATGACATTGCAAAGAAGGTAAGATTAGCTTCCGCTATGAGTTACAGAAGAGCTCCAAAATAGTGGCCTAAATAAGGTAGAAGCATATTTCTCTTGTGTGTGGAGGAAGTGTGGAGATGGGCAGTCAAGGAATGGTAGGGCCCTATCTAATATTTTACCCTGTGGGTAGGTGCGAGCAGCTCTTCCTAGGGTTGTTATCTCTTTAGCTTAGATTGGCTGCTAGATCTTTCGTTATTAACAATTCCAAGCAGTGAAAGAGGAAAGGGAAAGAAGAAGTCAAAAGGCATGAGTTGCAGTCTTTTAAAGGTTTCTTGGAAGTTACACAAAAAACTTCCAGTTATACCTCCTTGGCCAGAATTGAGTTTCTTGACAACACCTACCTGCAAGGAGGGCTTGGAAAATGTAGTCTTCTAGCTGATTCATTGCTATATTCAGGGATTCTGTTAGAAAAGAAGACCCTGTGTTGTGATCAGTCTGTACATATACCTTGTAGACTGTCTGGTTATTCCCCTTAAATAAATTCCTGAATGCTCATTGCTGGTGCAAAGGGTTTACACCTTTGTATTTTGATTGAATTTGCCATTTTTCCTTTTAGGAAAGTTATGCCTATTTGGACTCCCATCTCCAGCAGCCGAGAGTGCTTTTTTGTCTACACATTTGCCAGTGATGGTTGTCATCAATCTTTTTGCCAGTGTGATAGACCAAAAAAACCCAAAAGGCTCATTATTGTTTTTTATTTGCATTTATTGTACTGCTAGCGAGGTTGAGCATGATTTCATTTGCTTTATGACCATTTCTATTTCTTCTTTGTAAATTGCCTTTTCAGTTCATTTTTGTAAGGGATTTTTGAAAATTGTGTTGATTTATAAGAGTTTTTGTCATATCTTGATGATAAGGATATCAACCCTTAGAAACTTGTGGCAGATATCTTCTTTGTTGACTTTCAGCCTTGTTTTATTTTTTATGTAGTTAAATCAAAGTTACATGGTTTTGGTATCATGACTGGAAAGGGCTTTCGAATCTCAAGATTATTTTCTTCAGGGACTTCCCTGGAGGTCCAGTGGTTAAGGCTCCACACTTTCACTGCAGGGCGCGCAGGTTTGATCCCTGGTTTGGGAACTAAGATCCACACGCCATGTGGCGTGGCCAAAAAAAAGATTATTTTCTTCTAACACTTCTATAGTTCTTTTTGCTTTTTTGTCTTTTCTTTTTTTTTTTTCATTTGAATAAGTCCCATCTGGCATTTATTTTTATTAAACTTGTTCTTTGCCTCTGTCATTGTAATTTTTTCACATAGTGACATTATCAACCATGTATTGAAATCTTTTTCCACTGATTTTTTATATGCCCATCATATTCTAAATCCCTATCTACACTTGAACCTTTCTGAAAGTACGCTTATTGGTTGATTTTTGCATTAGGTAAAAAGTACTTCATATTTCAATCATTTTTCAGCCCTATAATAAAGAAGAAGGCCCGGAGTCTAGCGAAGAAGGCAGTGAAGAAGATGTAGAGGTAGGGGATGAAACGGCAGAAGGAGCAGAAGTTAAACAAAGGTAAAAAGGTGTGAGGGGACATCAAAGTGGGTTTAGGAAACATTTTATTTGTTTATTTTTACTATTATACGTAATTCAAGAATTTCTTGAAATGGAAACAGCTGATAGTTTGGGAGCAGGGCTTTTCATATTACTGTTTGCGTAAGACCATTACAACTTGAACTTGGTGATTATTGTTAGCACATGATATTATGCTTAGTTTCGGGTAGACTCTTTTAGGTTTTCAGAAGTTACAATTATATACTTTGTTCTTTGATTAATGAACTTCCCTAATTGAGTGAATAGGCATAAACTTTCTGTACACTCACCTAGCTACCGTTTCTCCCTAGAACCGATTCTCATTGGAGTGCTGTCCGAAAAGCCATCTCAGAGGTTGGTATCTCCTGTCTTATTAATGATGTCTCGTTTTGTTACCTAATAGCTCTGATAAGAGTTCAGATTCAAAACAGGATGGAAACTTTAAATGAAAGCATTGGATCTTAAGCAGGATACAGAGCATGGAATGCACAGAGCATTAAAACATATTTCTGGTTTAGTAAGCCTATGCCTGTGAGGGCTTGGAAATGTCTCTCATTGATTCTGCTTGAATTTTCTATCATTTGGGTAAAGACAGTTGTTAAATTTTGTTAATATTAAAAAATTCCAAAAAGCTCAAAAAAGTAAGAAACTTCGGACTTCCCTGGTAGTCCAGTGGTTGAGACTCCACACTTCCAATGTAGGGGGCATGGGTTTGATCCCTGGTCGGGGAACTAAGACATGCCACGGGGTGCAACCAAAAAAAAAAAGAAAAAGTAAGAAACTATCAATAATCCTATCATTTAAAAAGCTGCAAAACAAAGTGAAAATCCACTCCTTCCATAAGTAATCATCACTAACCATTTAGTAAATATATTCTTTCTGCCTTTTTTACCCTACTTATCACTTACATGGACATGCACGTGTGTGCATGTGTGTGTGTGTGTATGTACATATAGTGTACAAAAAAGCCATTAATTCTTCAGTGCATATCAGTTTACGATATCAACTCATCTGTGACAGGGCAGTACTTTGTGGAGCAAGACAGGCCGTTTTGATGGGGGCCATGCAGGAAGCAGCAGGTCTGGAGCACAGAGCTCAGCCCCCTGGGCACTGCATGGGGCTTAGGTCCTCAGGAAAGGCCAGGATTCAGCAATGGCGTCTTCTCAGGAACTGGGGGTTAAATTGCTATATTCTTCCGCTAAAGTCTGTACATTTGTATTTTTCTTTGGGGGGTTGTAGTTGCTACAGTGATAAAGAGAGAGTATCCTAGAGGTGAGGAAACATGAATGAAACCAAGCAAATTTTTGTTTTACTCTCTTCAGCAGATTAACACCGTTGACGTACTGACCACGATGGGAGCTATTCCTGCCGGGTTCAGGCCTTCCACCCTCTTCCAGCTTCTGGAGGAAGGTAACAGGTGTCCATCAGCCACTACAGACTTTTAGTTAAGCGGTCACGGTTTACATCTAATTTTTCTGGCACAGCCAAAGCAAGTCACTGAAAAAGTTGTAACATCTCACATCTCTTGGATGCTCATCTTTTCCTTCATCTTGCTTGTGAAGGAGGAAGGAGCCCTGATCCTATCAGAGGCCAAGCCCCCTTCCATTATTTCAAAAACATGACTCTCTGATCAACCTTTTCCTGTATCTTCAGCCTGCTCTCCCCTGCCCCACTGGCTGATTCCCTCATCAGTAGTCCTAGCAAACCTAAAACCTCCCACCTTTACGGACCAGCTCCCCGCAACCCTGTCCCATTCTGGATGAAGCCTCCCTTTCTCTGCTTTTCCTCACAGTGAGACTTTTCCAAAGAGTTTTCCCTATTCGCTGTTTCTGTTTCCTTACTCATTCTTGGATTGCCCTGTACTTGGCAACATTTGTTCATAAGCTCATTTTAAAGAGGAATAATGTTGTGGGGAGGCTCCCCTGTATACCCTGAGCTGCTGAGTCATCTGTGGAAGGGCTGCTTTGAGGCTTCTCTGTCGGGAGGCTCTTCTCAGCCCTCCCTGAACACCCAGCTCCTTCTCAGGCTTTGTTTTATTTTTGTTTTTTATTATAAATCTCTTTTTATTTATTTATTTATCGATTTATTATTATTATTATTTTGGGCTGTGCTGCGCAGCTTGTGGGATCTTAGTTCCCCTACCAGGGGTCATACCCGGGCCCTTGTGGAGTCCTAACCACTGGACCGCCAGGGAATTCCCCGCTACTCATGCTTTGGGTCTCAGGGTACATTCCCAGAGACACCTTCCATGTAGGCCCTCCTACTCCCATTCACTTGAGCACCCTTTATAAGTCTAAGTCAGCTTATAATTATTTTGTCTACTTATTTTTTGTAACAGTTTCCCCCACTGAGGTGTAAGCTAATGAGGGCAGGGGCCATATTTCTCTGATTCACGTTTATGTTTCCAGTTCCCAGCATAGCACCTGGCAGAGTAGGAACTCAAAAATGAGTTCTTGGGTGAGTAAATGATTTTGTAATAGGTATTCGTCATGACACAAGTATGGAAGAACAGTATTAAAATGCTTTTGTGTTAAGAAGTAAAATTAATGATTATATACTTTTTCTAAAATATCTAAAAAGTGTTCACAGAGTTTCTGCATTTTACAAAAATATTTGAATGGCTCATCTTCATCACGGGGCATGTTACTGGCCTAAAAGTCTTTAAGATCTTTCCTAAAGCCACTTTAAGATCAGCTCTCATGTGCTTCTATCCTTACATTTCCTGCTGTTGTTCTTATCTCTGTTGGTATGTCTGTCTTAGGAAGCAAGTTTCTAGTAAACAGCTTGGCATTTTCGATGTCTGTTTCCTAAGTTTGTACCATAACATCATGAATTTGGGGTTTTGAATTTCATTCGTTCTTTGTAAGAAAATAAAGGAACAATTATTTTTGCAGGGAATCAATTTCGAGCAAGTTACTTCTTACAACCAGAGCTCACTACTTCACAACTGGCCTTCAAAGATCTAATGTGGGATGCTAAAACGGGCTCTGTAAGTATGGTTACTGTCAGTAAAATTATAAATTTTCCAGATTTTGTCATGGTTGCAAATATACAGGTAACGTAAATTGATTAATGCATTATAAAAAAACAAAAAAAAATTGTCTCCGCATTGTAATTTTGAAACACTTAGTGACAGTTTCATGGCTGAGACAGAACTTGGGTCTGTTACCTTGACGTTATCTTGTTTCTCTTCTCCACTGCTCTCTTCTCCCATTGTTACAAAGGAAATAATACTAGGTATCAATCTTCATCATTCTTTGCCTCAATTTTTTCATCTGTAAAAAGGGAAAAATAGTAGTAATACTTGCAACATAGGGTTATTATGAGAATTGCACTGAATGTGTGAAGGGCTTAGAACAGTGCCTGACACATGATGATAACTTAGTAAATGTTAGCCAGTATCATCATTATTAATGGCAGTAGTAATATTATTTTAATTAAATAGGAATGAGGAACTTGGCAGTACTTTCTGATTATATTTTGTGGGGAGCTTGGAGCGGAGGATTACTGGTATCCCCCTTATTTGAAGTAGGAAATGCTCTTGACATTCAGTTCTCCTCCTTAGAATATATAAACTGCATTTGAGCCCCTCACTCCCCTTCCTGTTTACCTTCTGCCTTTTCTCCCTTGCTCCCCCAGAGCCTCAGGGAAGAATAAGAGAACCCAGTGTGGCCAGGTTTTGTGGGAAGGGGTGGTGCAGAATTTTCGTACTCTTTTCCTTCTCAACCCGAGCAAGCCTGGAATCTTTTTAGCATTAAATATCTCCTATTGCAAGTTTACAAATGTGTTATATTTGGTGTTTGTAGTATACTAGTACTGAATAAATAGCATTTAATTTTGTGAACTTGTACACAGAGAGCTCAATTGTCAGCTCTCATTTTTTAATGGAAAAGGTGACAAACTGTTAAACATTGTCTGATTTTTTTCAGTGATATGTTATTTAAATGGAAAGGCTCAGGACCATAAAGCAGAATGTTAAGAATTGAAGATGTTCTTAAATTAAAAAAAACTAGAATGCCAGTTGTTTTTAATTGACATTCTGAATTATCTTGTGAAGTAGAACTGAATAACTACATCCAATGGTCAGTGTGTTCTCTCTGTCAAAACATCTATATTAGAAGCCAGGGAATAATGTAGATAAATGCTTGGAATTGAAACAAGGAGGAGCTAGCTGGATAATATTAACGCCAGGTATCACTGGTCACTATGCTGTGGTGACCTTCTATGCAGACCTGCCTTATGTAAGAAGGAGCTGTAAGAACAAACCTGGAATATAGTTGATTCCATGGTCAGGTCATTCTTTTTCCCTGATTGTACTGACTGTTCTTTTCATCACAATTTTTGTGTATTTAACAAAAAAATGCAAAAATTTTTTAAAGATTTATTTATTATTTATTTATTTTTGGCTGTGTCAGGTCTTAGTTGCGGCATACGGGAGGTTCGTTGCGGCACTGGGGCCTCTCTCCAGTTGTGGCGTGTGGGTTTTCTCTTCTCTAGTTGTGGCATGCGGGGTCCAGAGCGCGTGGGCTCTGTAGTTTGTGGCCCGCAAGCTCTCTTGTTGAGGCGCGCAAGCTCAGCAATTGTGGCACGCGGGCTTAGTTGTCCTGTGTTATGTGGGATCTTAGTTCCCTGACCAGGGATCAAACCCATGTCCCCTGCATTGTAAGGTGGATTCTTTACCACTGGACCACCAGGGAAGTCCCCAAAGCAAATATTTTAAATATAAATATTTATGAAAATTTTAACTGAAGTTTTGGGTTAAATTAAACAGACTATTGAAACTTTTCTTGTGTATGTATGTTGTGTGCAAAATTTATTCTTTTGTTCTTTTTTATTCTATATGCATTTTCTTAAGCATTTACAAAAGGTGCTTTGAAAATGAATTTGTCTTATAAGTCATAAAAGTAAACCTTCCTCATAACTAATTTTTCTCTCAGATTAGGTCAAGACCAAGTCGTGTTTCCTTGATTCTGACCCTCTGGAGCTGTAAGATGATTCCTCTTCCAGGAGTGAGCATCCAGGTTCTGAGCAGACACGTGCGCTTCTGTCTGTCTGACGGCAATAAGGTGAGCTTGCTGAGGAGTTAAACCGGTTGCCACCATATGTTAATGCCACATATTAACCGCGTACTGCACAGGGTCTGTCTCTCTCTCTCTCCGTGTGTGTGTGTGTGTGTGTGTGTGTGTGTATAAGTATCTGTATAAAATGATGTGTGGTAGAGTGCAAACTACATGTGTTCTGATGACACAGACTTAACTCCTGGCTCTTTCAGTTGCTAAGTGTGTGATATTTATACGTCACAGTTAACGCCTCTGAGCCTTAGATTTTTCACTTACAAAAAGGTACTGATGCCTGTCTTCTAGTATTGTATACGGTTCAGGTTTGAAGGTTAGAGTATTGCATTTTTGACAGGTGTACACACCTGTATAACCAACATCCCAGGCAACATATGGAGCATTACCATAACCTGACAAAGTTGCCTTGTGTCCTTTTCCATTCTGTGCCTCTCTGATTCCTAAGAGAATATTTTTTACCCAGTGCCAAAAAATTTGAATAACTCTTTTTATGAGATACAGATGAAACAGTGCATGGATAGAACTTTATGACTTTAATTGCATACACTAGACAAGAAGAAAGATTTTTAAATCAGTGATCTAAGCTCGAACTCAAGAGCCTAGAAAAGGAAGAGTGAGTCAATCCCAAAGGAAGTAGAATGGAGGAAATAATAAAGAGTAGAAATTAATGAAGTAGAAAACAAGAGAAAGTCAGAAAAGGCAAAGTTTATTCTTTGAAAAGATTAATAAAATTGAGAGGTGCCTAGTAAGACTGATCAAGAAATTTTAAGAGAGAAAACAAATGATTGTTGCCAAAACTCTGCCTCTGTTCACCGGTGCCAGATAGAAACACGGAAACAGAGTTTTGGGTGAAGTAGAAAAGAAGAGCTTTATTGCTTTGCCAGGCAAAGGGGGCCACAGTAGGCTAATGCCCTCAGAACTGTGTGTTCCACCCTGGAGCAGGTAGTGAAGAGTGTTACAGTGCTCAAGGAGCAGAGCGTGATCGGCTCACGGACATTCTTCTGATTGGCTGGTGGTGAGGTAATTGGGAGTCAACATCATCAACCTTCTGGTTCCAACCAGTCTGGGGTCTGCGTGCTTGTGGGCAGCACACAGTTAAGTTCTCCCACCTGGAGGGGGTTTCAGTATCTGCAAAACAGCTCACAGGACATGGCTCAGAATATTATCTATACCCCTTGAGGAAGAACTAAAGGTCCTTGACTTTGTTTAATGGCTAAAGTATTATTATTTTGTCTTGCTTGACTGTTTTCCTTTCTTTCTGCATTTTTTCATTTCTCTGATTAAATTTATGATTTGACTGAAGTTTTTCTACAGACAAAAGGCAGGCGGAGGACAAGGGTGGGGCTCTTTTCTGGGAAGGCCTCATAGGGTCCTGCTTGGTTACATGATCACCATCTGACATGAAAATGGAGACCTCAGCACAGATCCTGCGCACATTAAAGGGATAAGCAGGGGATGTTGTAAACAACTTTATGGCAGTAAATTTGATAACATCAATAAACAGATAAATTCTTTGAAAACCATAACTTAATGAAACTGACACAAGAAGAAATAGAACAATTTGAATGATCCCTGTTAAAGAAATTGAAACAGTAATTAAAAATCTTCCAATAAAGAAAACTCCAGACCCAGATGGTTTCACTAGTGGATTCCTCCAAACATTTAAGGAAGAAATAATACCAATAGTACACAAACTTCCAAAGAATAGATAAAGAGGAAATGCTTCCCATCTCATTTCACGAGGCCAGGAAAAACATGATACCAAAATATGACGAGACATTACAAAAAAGAAAAATTACATGACCAGTATTCCTTATGAATATATAAACTAAAATCCTAAACAAAATATTAGCAAATTGAATCTAGCCATGTATAAAAAAGGACAGTATATCATGACTAATTGGGGTTTATTCCAGGAATTCAAATGTACACACCTGTGTAACCAGTATTTAACATTTGATAATAGATTATTGTAATTTGCCATATTAACAGAACCGAAGAACAAAAATCACCTGATCATCTCAATAGATGCTGAAAAAGGAGTTGACAAATTTTAACACCCACTTATGATTTTAAAAAAGTTCTCACCAAACTAAGAACAGAAGGGAACTTCAAATTGGTAAAGGGCAACAAGAGAAAGCTAAAACAAAGCTACTAGCATCATCACACTTAATGTGAAATATTGCATACTTTTCCCCTACGGTCAGGAACGATTCAAGGATATCCAAGAAATAAAAAAGATAACTCAGGTTTTTTTAATTGACAGAAGACTTGAACAGGCACTTAAAGAAAATATGGGGGCTTCCCTGGTGGCACAGTGGTTAAGAATCCGCCTGCCAATGCAGGGGACATGGGTTCAAGCCCTGGTCCGGGAAGATCCCACATGCGTCGGAGCAACTAAGCCCGTGTGCCACAACTACTGAGCCTGCGCTCTAGAGCCCGCAAGCCACAGCTACTGAGCCTGCATGCCACAACTACTGAAGCCCACGTGCCTAGAGCCCGTGCTCTGCAACAAGAGAAGCCACTGCAGTGAGAAGCCCGCACAGTGCAACGGAGAGTAGCTCCTGCTCGCCATAACTAGAGAAAGCCCGCGCGCAGCAGCAAAGACCCAGTGCAGCCAAAAATTAATTAATTTTTTAAAAAGTATAGTACAAATGTTTAAAAAAAAAAAGAAAGAAAATATGGCAAACCAATGGGTCTATAAAAAGATACACAACATATAATAAGTCATCCAGGAAATGCAAATTAAAACCAGAATGAGAGAGAGCCAACCATAGGCTATGCTTAAGAAACCACCTTAAACATAATAATATAGGCAGGTTAGAAGTAGAAGGATGGAAAAAGCTACACCATTCAAAACATATTAATATCAGACAAAGTATACTTCAGAAGAAGGAAAATTACCGGGAATAAAGTGGTACATTACATGATAAAATGGACGATAAACCAAGAAGATGTAACAATCCTAAATGTGTGTACACCTACCATCAGAGCTTCAAAATACATGCAGCAAAAATGGACCAAACTGAAAGGAGAAATGGGCAAAGCCACAATCATAATTGGAGACTTTAATACTTCTCTCTACAGTACTGTAGAACAAGTAGACAGAAAATTAATAAGAATATAAGAGAACAGAATAACACCATGAACAAACTGGATGTAATTAACATTTGTACAACAGTTCAGCCCCAAAGAGGAAAGTACGCATTCTTTTTAGTGCGTATGGAACATTCAGCAAAATAGATGGTCCTGAGCAGATTTAGAAGAATTGAAATCATACAATGTATGGTCTTTGATCACATGTGATTGAATTAGAAATCAGAAACAGAAAGATAACTGGAAAAATCCTTAAATACTTAGAAATTAAACGACAGATTTCTCAAGAATCAATGGGTTAAAAGAAAATTTCAAGGGAAATTAGGAAATATTTTGAACTGAGCAAAAAAATGAAAATGCAGCATAATATTTGTGGGATGTTAGCGAAAGCATTGTTTAGAGGGAAATGTGTAGCACCAGAAAAGAATTCTGTTATGGGGAGGGGGACGGGTAAGCTGTGACAAAGTGAGAGAGTGGCATGGACATATATACACTACCAAACGTAAAATAGATAGCTAGTGGGAAGCAGCCGCATAGCACAGGGAGATAAGCTTGGTGCTTTGTGACCAACTAGAGGGGTGGGATAGGGAGGGTGGGAGGGAGGGAGATCCAAGAGGGAAGAGATATGGAAACATATGTATATGTATAACTGATTCACTTTGTTATAAAGCAGAAACTAACACACCATTGTAAAGCAATTATACTCCAATAAGGATGTTAAAAAAAATCTCAATTTCATAGTCTACCTCCTGAGGGGGTGATGCTTGCCTTGAGATCTGAGGGGTGAACAGGCCGTAAGGAGATGAAGAGAAAAGGGGACAAGGGGAGTGTGTACCTGGCTGAAGGAGCAGCACAGGCCAGGGCCCTGGCAGGAAAGGACTTGGGAAGGGGAGCCAGGGGGCTGAGTGGGGGCAGCAAGAGGAAGTGTAGGACGGGATGAAGCAGGAGGTACAGCGTAAGACGTTGTAAGCCATGATGTAGGGAGTTTCGTCTTTACCCTAAAAGCAGGGAAAGTCATTAGAGGTAGGACATGACTTAGACGTACGTTTGGGGATGATTTCTGGCTCCTCTCTGGAGGTGGATTGAAGGGGGGCGGGGGTCAGAGGGATCTGAGTAGACCACTTGGGGGCTATGTCACAGTGTGATGGTCAAAGGGCAGCAAGTGTCACCTCAAGAAAACGAAATCTGGAGCCATTTTGCCTGGAATTAACCCTGGCTCCGCCGACTGGGTGTGGGACGCTGACCAAATGACTCGACCTTGCTGTCTTGTCTCATGTGCATCCCTTAGGGTCGATGTGAGGACTAAATGAGTTAATGTAAGTAAAGCACTTAGACCAATACATGGAACATCATAAGTTGACCGGATGAGAGATGACGATGGTAACTTAGATTAGGGAAGTGGAGATGAGAGCTGTAGCCAGAGGGATATTTAGGAGGCAAAACCCAACACACTTTGGTTGGTGGTGGGTTGGATGTGGCAGGTGAGGGAGAGTGGGACGCCAAGCATGACACTAGGTCTTTGACTTCCACATCTGGGTGGATGGTGGTGACGTGCAGTGAGGTAGAGAACGCTGATAGATATCTTTCTTTCTGCTGAGGGTACTCCTAACTCGCAGCATGAGGAAAGTGCCTTTCTTTCATCTGCACTGCGGGTAAATAAGGATCTTTCCTTCCTTCTACATGCTCTGCGCAAGATCACTGCCAAAAACGAGCCAGTAGGTGTCGCCAGTGACCAAGAAAAGATGAATTGCCTTCTTTTTCCCAGATCTGGTTCCACACTTTTTGCTGTACCTCTCGCTATTCTCATACGTGACAACATAAAACAAAGATTAGAATTTTATTTTGAATAATATATCAAAATAGTAGAAATTATTTTATATAAAAATAATAGAAGT